GTACTGTTAGCAGCGTGGTTCAGTTAGCACCATGGTACTGTTAGCAGTGTGGTTCAGTTAGCACCATGGTACTGTTAGCAGTGTGGTTCAGTTAGCAGCATGGTACTGTTAGCACCATGGTACTGTTAGCAGCGTGGTCTTGGTAGCAGCGTTAGCAGGTCTAGTTAGCAGCTTGATGGTAATAATGACCACAGCAGCTGCCTCCCAGACTGCCCTCCAGAACCAGGTCCGGCAGACAGAGAACATTCGATGTTTCCCCGTGGAACCAAACGGGTCCATAAAGTTCGGTTCCAGCAGGCAGATAGAGGATCATGGAGACAGCCGCCATGACGGTCCTGAGCCCGAGGCTGGAAGGACTGAACCACGATGGCAAGGCAGCGACACAGACAACTCAAGTGTGTCGCGGTCATGCCCGTACTGTGGATGTACATCGTAGTTGCAAAAAAGAAAGTTAAAACTAAAGCAACAGGAATATAAAAAGATCAAGTTCAGCAGGAGCCTGTGAAGCTGCGACTCGGCTGAGCGCGGCCATCTTGGTACAATATGGTATGACGGATGCAATTCACATCAATTGATTTGTCCCAGTTTGGGAAGAAATAAGTTTGTTCTTGCTTTTAAAACGTTCACATTAATGACGATTCATCTGCCTACGTTAGTTACCAGACTGTAAGGCACATTACTGGTTTTTAATGTGTTGGTTTTGAACATTCTGAACTAATCAATCAGTGCTTCGAGCACTGTGATGGGAATTTTCCTGAGCTAGAATGGGGTCAGGTTGTCTTCTTGTGATTCCAGATTTTGATGTCAAGCTAAGCTAACAATCTCCTGCAGGTAGCCTCAGACAAGATATTAAGACATGGAGATCTTCACACCTCAACGTTTTGTTTCACATTCACAACTCTGAGCATCATTTAGGAAAACTAAAGTTTGTAAGTGAAGGTCACCTGTGATGGGGTTCTGGCAGCCGCTGCACTTCTTGGCCACAGAGCTCTTGTAGCAGTCGACACAGAAGACCTGGTCCTGGTGGTTGGTGAAACTGGACCCGGCCAGTGGCTTTGAACAGGAGCTGCACACAAAGCAGTGGCTGTGCCACGGCTGCTCCTGGTAGTTCACTCCTCCAGAGGTTATCGGCTTTAAACAAACATCACAGCCATCATTAGAAATCAAACTAGAGAAACTGTGTTTCCTGCGAAAATGCAGTGTGAATGCTTATTGCAGAAGAACTTGCTGAAAAACAGCTGAAATTAGCTAAAAACACTCTGAAATGTTGCTGAAATTGAAGAATAAGTCTAAATTAGAAGAAGAAAATAGAAAGAACACATATTTGCTGAATTAGGTTTAAAATAGCAGTAATTAGCGCAAGAAATAAAAAAGCTAAAAAAAAAAAACTGAATGTAGCTATAAAAAATAGCTGAAATAAAGCTGAAAGGCAGAAAGAAAATTAAACTACCAGAATAAAGCAGAAAGAACTGAAATGAGCTATATATACAAAACTGGAATTAGCTGAACAAGTTAAAATTAGCATCAGAAGAGCTAAATAGTAGCTGAAAGAGTAGAAAAAGCTGGAAGGAGCAGAACAAGCTGAAATTAGCAGGAATTAACATGAAAAACTTGAATTTATCTGAAATTAGCTTAAAAAAATCCTAAAAATCTAGCTGAAATGTTAGAATAAGCTTAAATTAGCAGATGAAAACAGAAAGAACATGTTTGCCAAATTATGCTGAAAGAAGTCGAAACGAGCACAAAATGGAACTTATCTGAACAAAGCTAAAATTAGTAACAAAAAAAAGCTGAAAAGTAGCTATTAAAAAGGCAGCAAGTAGCTTAAATTACCAGAAGCGGGACGAGAGGGAACATTTTTGCTGAATTAGGCTGAAAAAAGTTGAAATGCGTGCAAAAATGTGGAATTACCCCCAAAAAAAAGGGGCTAACATTAGCACAAAAACAGCTAAATAGTAGCTGAAATAGCTGAAAAAGCTGAAGCTTTCCGAAATGAGCTGAAATGAGCCGAAAGAAGTTAGAAGAAGCACAAAAATGTTGTAGTTAGCAGAAAGAATCTGAAAGGAGCAAAAAATAGCTGAAAACTTGCTGAAAGCAGCTGAAAAAAATGTTTAAATTTGCACAAGGAAGCTGAACTAGAATAAAATGTGAAAGCAGCAGAAAAAGGTTGTAAACAAATCTAAAGATTTGAAGGATGTAAAATGAGCTTAATTTATTTTCTTTGAGAGAAAAAAAAAGTGTCAGAAAAGGCTAAATGTTTCAAAAAGCTAAAGTTGCACCAATACCAAAAGTCATAGCATCCTTCTCCTGAACGAGCTGAACATTTTATATATGATTTGTTGAAATAGCACAAAATTATGGAAGAAAAATGGATCACAATAGTGTGAATTCTTCACAAGCGTTCACACAACTACATTTTGTTTAACGGAACAAAGTTAGATTTAAAGTATGAGACAAATAAAATGTGACTGGACTTAAAATGTGAGCTGGTTCTCTCTTTTTGAAACCAAATACCTTTTTGCAGCTGACGCAGTGCTTGGCAAATTTGTCATCGTAGCACGGATTACAGTAAACATCACTTCCTTTGGTGAGGAAACTCTGAGATCCTATCGGTGTTTTACAGCCGCTACAAGTGAAGCACTCGTCGTGCCACGAGTTTCCTTTGTACACGACCGTCTCTGTGCCTGCAGGGGACAGGAAATGGATTAATATAAACAGGCTGTGAACCTTTACATTCAGCTATAGACATTATTCACCTGTTTAGTGTGGTTACAGTAAGACTACAGTTCGAACATACGCACCAGCCAGAATGGATTTAAAGCAGCCGTGGCAGCGCGGAGCATCCTCTCTCGAGCAACACTTCACGCACATGATCCGGTCATCCTTGGAGTTGAACGGCTCTTTGGCCAGAGGCTTGTAACACTTTGCACAACGGAAACACTCTTCATGCCAGGAGCGTCCTTTGTGGCTCAGCTCCTGATGGAAGAAACAAAGTTCCTTCAAGGGAACGGACTGCAGAGGACGCTGCACACACCAAACTTAATTTAAGCGCGAGTCGAGAACGCACCTTCGTCTCCACGGAGATGGGTCGACGGCACTCGGCGCAGGACTTGGCGCAGAACTTGGTGTGGCAGCGAACGCAAACGGGCTTTCCCTCGATGCGTACGTACCTCTTCCCTGCGAGGTCCTCGCGGCAGTAGGAACACTGGGAGCTGTCGGCCATCGTCACGCCGAGGTACACTCACCTGACGCAGAAAGAGCACAAAACAAGAATGTCAAAAATTATAAAAAGAGCTTGTTAAAAATAGAATTATAAATACGTTTTGGTCATTTGTATCTAATAAGCTCATTTGAGCATCTGGGTTTTTTTTTTGTTCTTTTCTGACTTCCAGCTCTGTGTGCTACTTGAACCGCTACTGAAAACTGGATCTGATCCCATTGTTTTGGTCATGCTGTCAGTTTTCTTCAAGCGTGATCTAAACATGTAAAAAGAGGGAAGCTGCCGCGTAGGGGTGCTGTTGTTTTGGAAACATAATGAAAAAGAGCTTTGTTATTTATTTAGTAAAGTAATCTGCTGATAGGGCATTTTTATGACTTGCTTAGACGAAAGAACTAACGAAACTAAATATTAGTTTTATGGAAAATCGTAGCAAATGTCTAATAATGTAACTTGCAGGGACTTTGCTCTCATAAAACTCATCTTTACTCCATGAAGAGACTCACAGATGGTGCACATTGAGGGTATGGTAGCCATGGAAATGACTAATATTAAGTTTTTTTACATTTTGATGACTAGCTTCACATTGTTTTAGGCAGGGGTGTCCAACCACTAACAAAAGGGGGCCAAAATTAAAACCTTTTTCAAACTATGGGCTAATTTCTGAAACTACATTAACTCAAATCAGATACCCAACCTGTTTTCTTGGTCACAAAAATCAAGAGATGGAAGTATTTTATGTTTCACATATCATCTTGGGGGGCCAGAAAAGATGTCAACAAGGGCCACATTTGGCCCCCGGGCCTTTAGTTTGACACATATGGTTTTAGGTCTATACCACCCGAGCTTTGAAACATCAATACTTTCCAGACTTTTCTCGAAAGTGAAGCTGATCTTGCAGTAGTCGATTTAAAGTCATTCATTCAACCTTTATTTATTTGACCTTTGGGATTTTATGCTGCATTGTCATTGCTCCATTTTTGCAATGGCTTTAATCCTTTTACAGTAGTCCCTCGCTACTTCGCGTTTCATTTATCGCGGACTCGCTCTATCGTACAACAACCGTATGTCCCACCACGTTCCCCGAGGTCAGCGGACCAGTTGCTCCTCACAGTTTCAGGAACTCTTCTTAAGCGCAGAGGTGACAGGGCCTTCTCTGTAGCAGGACCAAGACTTTGGAATGAGTTACGTCTGCTTGTCAGACAGGCCCCTTCCCTCTCGGATTTCAAGTCTTGTTTAAAAACCCACTACTATTCAGTAGCTTTCAACACAAGATGATCTGTGTTTTGATCCTGTATGCTCCACACTGGTCATTATCTGCATCATTTTTATGTCTATATTCTGATTTCCTTCATTTTGTATTTTGCTTTGTGTGTTACCTGTTGTTCTGTCTGTACAGCACTTTGGTTGGCCTTGTCGCTGTTTTCAGTGCTCTATAAATAAAATGGTATGGTATGGTATCGTGGTTTTTCAAAATAAGATTGGACATGACACACAAATGGCTGACTGATGGATGAGCCACATGATCAGCATGTAATTATTATTTAAAATGAATTATTTTAAATTATTTAGCACCTGCTGCACCTTTGTGCAGCCCACACTGCAGGATAAACTTCCTGTTGCAGCTGATCAGCTGTTCTCTGTGCAGATCATAGAAGTGGGCGTGGCCAAGAGCGCTTGCAGGTTGGCTGAGAGCAGACGAGGCCGGGAGCTGAAATCATGACATGCTGTGCTCTTTTAGAGCTTTAGAGTTTAGAAACATTGTTGAGAACATTGCAAGAGTGTGGGAAGGGTGTAAAATGCCTTTTTATGTATATATATATATATATATATATATATATATATATATATATATATATAAACTACTAATTACTTGTACTACTATTCCTACTTTGTAGTTTTTCACTTATCGCGGGTCTTCAGGGTACGGATCCCTCTCGATAAACGAGGGACTACTGTATCTCACTTTTTATCCAAACTGAACTTGGAGAGGTTTAAGTACAAACGTTGTTCCAGCCTCCAACGTTATGAATCTTATTCTTTCCAGTTTTTCATCAGAACTTTATCTTCATTAATAGCCTTGTTCTAACCATTTCTATTAACAGTTTGTTTTGATACTTTAGTTTGAAATATGATAATTATGGAATCAAGATAATCATTTACAATGGGATCTTCCTGTGGTCGATGTTTCCCTACAATGATACTGTGAGGTTACAGGAGCATTAAAAACAATTCTAACAACAACAAACAAAAAAAAAGGAATTTTAGGCTTTGTCAGAAAAAAAGTTTTTGAATGCACCAAAATAAATAAATTTAAAAACTTTTTTTTAAATATATGTGGCTTACTTGGCTCATGAGACCTGAAAGCTTAACACGTTTTAATCGAGGGAAATTTAAAATAATGTGGCTCAGGATCATCACTGACTGCAGTATTTGCCTTTAATGGCATTTATTTACCAGTTACCAATACAGTACAGAACCCTTTGAATGACTCCCCAACATTTTTCAGTCAGGTCATCTGGACAGTTTCTTTTTTTTTTGTGCTGAAACGTTTCGCCTTCGATCCGAAAGGCTTCATCAGTCAAAGAAACAACAAAACTGATTCTTCCCCCAACAGCTTACTCCAAAGTGGAACAAACCAGTGTTGCTTGTGATAAGATGGTCTGATGAAGCCTTCCGGATCAAAGGCGAAGCACAAAAAAAGAAACTGTCCAGATGACTTGACTGAAAAATGTTGGATTGTATACCTGGATTATTGAGCATGGACTTTGTTGTTTTCAACCAGTTTGACACAACTCAAGAAGGAAGAGGGCCGGCAATGGAGGAGGGGGCATGACAAAGAGACCATCTTAGCACCAACATAACTGGTTTGTTCCACTTTGGAGTAAGCTGTTGGAAGAAAAATCAGTTATGTTGTGCATTTCCTTGACTGATGAAGCCTTCTGGATCAAAGGCGAAACGTTTCAGCACAAAAAAAAAAAGAAACTGTCCAGATGACCTGACTGAAAAATGTTGGATTGTATACCTGGATTATTGAGCATGGACTTTGTTCCTTTGAATGACTCTAAGATTTTAAAGTCTGACATGAGGTTTTTGAACCTGCTGACTAATTTCTGCTTTTATTTTCCACACATTCTATGCATTACTTAACATTCTGTGTACTGTGTCACAATGAAGCCCCAAACTAATAAAGATACGAGTCAAAAGCCATATCATCGGCTAAACTTCTACGTAAAATGTTCAGATGGTGTTTACCTGTTAAACTATTTGGAATGTTTTGCTTTTACTTTATAATCCCACAAACTTGTTTTGTTTGTTTTTTATATATAAGAATACGTAAAAGTATACTGGTATAATCAGCCTATGCGGTGAACCAAAAATCACCATGTTGAGCTGTGATCACAGGGTTAGAACTTGGGGTTATAAATAAAACACATTGTGGTAAAATCACAGCTACAGAAAAAAAAAAGAATGGCTGTTCACGCAGTAATTTCCCACATCAGAGTCCCGCTGGACGACTCCAAGGAATTTGTCGGAATGGTTGTGGGACAGCTGTGTTTGTGTCAACAAAGTAAGGTGAACACGTGAAGGAATGCCACTACTAGACCTTTGATAAGAGTCCATACACACACACACACACACCACATCTTACATGAACTACTCCCTTTAAAAACCACAAACTATAGGGTTCTCCTGGAAGTTCTGGATCTGGCCAAAGTGAAAACCACAAGTTAGCATCGAGTTGGTAAACAGTAAAACCAATTATTGAGTGCAAAAACTCCAAGAGAGGAAAAGAAAGTGGATTTAAAGGTTAGTGTTTGGATTTACGGACCAATAGTTTTTTATGATGGTGAGCAGATCACATCCTGGATTCACCGTGCTGCGTTCGGCTGTGGCTGAATTTTTGCGTGATGTAGCTAAATGTTATTTTAATCACTGCAAGGTCTAGATTTAAATCCTGATAATAAAAAATAATAATGTCCAACGTGTTAAAGACACTTTCATATCATTGGACTTTTATACCACGAAAACATTGCCTGAATTTATTTTTGATTAAAAATCATCCCAAAGTTTTGAATAAAGCACTTCCTGTTGAGAGATGGAAGATTAGCAGCTGTTTTAGTCCATACCTTGCTATGCCAGACAAGTTGAGCTCTCCGATTTAAACAGTTAGGAGACAATAGGAAAAAAAATATGTTGGTGTGCATGTGGAAACAGCTCCGTTTCCTCTGTGCAATAGTGCCGTTAGCTAAGTTTTCCTGTGTACTCACCAAAGTGATGTTTAAACAGTCGCCCAGATGTGCCTTAGATAGTGCAAGAGGAGAAAATGTGATTTCCAAAGTCTTAAAAGTTCTTATGAAGACCCCTTGGTTCACAAACCTTTCATTTTAAGGGCTACACAAGACTACTGACAGTATTTTACAGTATATATGTGCTGGTATGTAAGTTTAAATTTGTTGCTCAAAGCACCAGTTGATCTTGTTTTCATCGTTGAGGTCAGAGAGGCTACAGTAGACGCTGCTGTGATACTTGGAGTCAGAGACAGGTATGTGGTCGAGGTTAGAAGTGCTGCTGCTAGTGGAGAAGATTAAGATCTCCTTTTTGTGGGTTTGCCTTCTCATTAGACAATAGTGTTGTAAAGTGAGGCTGGCTTGGTTGTCACTGGACAAATATGTTCCATTTGGCGTCGTACTCCATGACTTATTAGTGGAAAGGAAACAGAAGTGGTTTTATTTGGTTACTGGGTGAGGCTGCACATTCTTCTCCACTGGAAGACAAGAAGTCCTCTTGGTTTTCTCGTCATTTTACCGTCGACACAAGTTTACCATTATTGTGTGAATGTTTATGAAGCATTCACACTATTGTGACCCATTTTTCTTCCATACGTTTTTCAGCATCGTTCTCGTTCCACAGTTTTTGTGCCATTTCAACAAATATATTAAAACGTTCAGCTCGTTCACGGGAAGGGTGCTATGACTTTTGGTATTGGTACAACTTTGGCTTTTTGAAATATTTAGCATTTTCTGC